CTCAATACTCTTCTCCAGCACCACAGCTCAAAGGCATCAATTCTCCTTCTATCCTCCTTGGTCATTGTCCAACTCATTGATGCGTAACAAGTGATTGCAAAGACCATGGCCTGTATCAGATGTACCTTAGTCACCAGAGATACACCATTGCTCTTCAAGTACTTTGGAGAGGTCCCTAACAGCAGATTTTCCCATGGCAATACGTCGTTTAATTTCCTGGCTACTGGTGCCAAGAGTGTTGACTGTGGAGCCAAGCAAACTAAAGAAATTAAAGCTGTGAACAATCTCAATCTCTTCACCATCCATCCTGATGCTGCCAATTGGCCCAGTGGTGAGAATCTTTGTCATCTTGACATTGAGCCTCAGTCCATATTGGAGGCTGCAGTCCTTGGCCCTCTGCAGCAAGCGCTTCAGGTCTTCCTCAATTTTAGCAAGCAGGGTTGTGTCATCTGCATAATGCAGATTGTTGATAAATCGTCCACCAATCTTGACCCCACATTTCTCCTCATGGAGCCCAGCCCCCCGCAAAATCTGTTTTGCATACAGGCTGAAAAGGTATGGAGATAGGATGCGTTCTTATGACTGCCTCCTGGTCCAAGTATAGGTTTCGCATTAGAACGTTCAAGTGTTCTGGGATTCCCATTCTTCTCAGAGTTAGCCACAGGTTGTTATGATCCACACAGTCAAACGCCTTTGCATAGTCAATGAAACACAAATAGACATTCCTCTGGTATTCCCTGCTTTCAGCTAAGATCCATCTAACATCAGCTACAATATCCCTAGTACCACGACCCAGCCTGGACTTCTGGTAGTTCTCTGCTGATGTGCTGTTCCAGTCGTTTCTGGATAATCTTCAGTAGAATCTTGCTTGCATGTGAAATCATCAGATTGTTCTATAGTTTCCACACTCTGATAGGTCACCTTTCTTTGGGATCGGAACAAATATAGATCTTCCAGTCAGTTGGCCAAGTGGTTGTTCTCCAGATTTCTTGTGATTAGGATTCTTATTTTTTTTCTCCATGCAAATTAAAGTCTGCTTTTATTTTTTTATTTCTAGAGTTTGGCGGAATTGGAGACATTATGTACTCATCTCTATGTAGGAACTGATCTTTCACAAAGGATAGAAGCTGAGAAAGCACTCCTGGAACTAATTGACAGCCCAGAATGTCTCAGCAAGTGTCAACTTTTATTAGAACAAGGAACAGTAAGTATTTGATAATGGCGATTAAATAAGATAGATTAGTAGATTGATATATGTCAGTGTTAATGAAGTGATGTGTGCTACTGTTGATAACTGATAGATATTGACACTTAGGTTTTGAAAAAAATTATTGGTTTACATATATTGGTTTCATGTACGTTATGTTTTTCGTACATGCATTTTATGTTTTATGCCACATATCTTTTTACTGTCGTTTATGTCACTGCCAAAGAAGTTAATTAGGAAAAGAATTGAAAAACTTCGAAAGCAAATTGAGAGGAGTCCAGGAAATGGAAATAGGAATGAATTTATATGCTTTCTTGATTGTAGGTTCCATTTTTTCCTTCATATCAGTATTCAAATATAACGGTTTTTAAAAGTTGACTAATAACTGTTGGCTCTTGTTTTCCTTTAAATATAGGTGAGAAAGACTGCAATTAATTTTGAAGCATGAGATTATCTAATTCAGAGAAGTGCTGACAACCTCTTGCTTGCCTCCTTTCTAGAGGTTCATAGCCATTCAGTTAGCAATCATTTGACAAATCTTTATTGGAAGACTAGACACTGACCTGCCCACTTGGTTTATGTATATGCTTTAAAGCAGCTAAAAGTTTAGTTGAGGAGGCAGACGTGTAAATAAAGAGCTGTAAGTGATAATGGTAAAACTGTAGTAAGAGACTGTGTGGGCTTAAGCAGAGGTTGGCATATTTTATTTGTAGAGGCCAAATGATAAATATTTTAGATTTTGTGGGCCAAAAAGCAAAATTTGGCAAATTTTTAAGTGCTTCTGTAACAAGTGAGTGGGCCTTTGTGATTAAAACTCTGTTGAGCCCTAGGGCCTACTTTCCCCCTGGCCTTGTATGAAGAATGATTTGCTATTAGAAGGACAAGCTGAATTGTCAGTTTGCTGTGATTGGGAAGAACATTGTTCTACTTGGTAAAGATATTTGTTCATCAGTTGGCTGAGATAACTTGTGGGCTGCTGTTATATTGAAAGCTATGCCACTGGTGTTTCATATTCCACAAGGGTTACCCATGGTAGACAAGTTTTAGTAGAGCTCCCAGATTAACACAGACAAGGAAGCAGGATTGGCCATTCACTTCATAAATAACAGGCCTCTGAACAACCCTATGAACAGTAGAGGACAGTAGTTATAGTATTAGTGGTAGAATTCAGATTACAAGGCAGTTAGAATGAGAAAAAATAATGGCAAATATGTTTTAATAACTGGAACATGGAATATATGTAGCTTAAATGTTGAAAAACTAGAGAAATGAAATGGAGCGTGTGAACGTAGACATTCTAGGCATTACTAAGGTGAGATAGACTAGCTTTGGCCACCATGAATCAGATAATTATGTGGTACACTATGCTGGGCATGAAAAACAGAAGAAGAATGGCATTGCATTCATAGTAAAAAAAGTCAATTTCAAGTTCTATCCTGAAATACTGTGTTGTAAGTGATAGGATATTATCTGTACGCATACAAGGAAGACCTGCTAATATGACTGTTACTCAAATAAATATACTCGTTCATCTACAGCGAAAGAGGGAGAAATGGAAAATTTTTATCAAATCTTGCAGTCCAAAATTGACTGAACATGGCAATCAAGATGTGTTAATGATAATTGGTGACTGGAAAGCAAAAGTAGGAAACAATGAAGAATAAATAGTAAGAAAATTTCAGCTTGATGATAGAAATAAGGCTGGAAAAAGAATGATCAAGTGTTGTAGTCTCACGGATTTATTCATTGCAAATACCTTTTTTTAAAAGAAATACAAATGGTGACTTGACACATGGACCTCATAGCTGTATAGAAATCAGATTGACCACATCTGTGGGAGGAATCCTTGGAGAAGCTTAATATCACAGTCATAACCAGGTCAGGGGCGGACCATCAATTACTTATGTACAAGTCCAAATAGTGGCCAAAGAAAATGAAAAGTCCATGAGAATCAAGAGTGTGATCTTGAATCTATTCCATTTAAATTTCAAAATCATCTTAATTAGTTTAAAGCATTGAATACCAATGATTGAAGACCAGATGAGTATGGTCTCATCCATGAAGAAAGCAAAAGGTTATCACAAAGACAGAGGAGGAGGAAAAAAACTGAAAAGGTGTCTGAAGAGACACTAAAAATTAAACTAGAGCATTGACATGCAAAGAAAGGGAAAACATGCCAAAAAGTAAAAAAAGCTTATCGGAAGATTGCAGAGGGTAGATCAAAGAGACAAAGTATTAAAATGGAATATGCAGAGAGCTGGAATTGAGAATTAAAAGGGAAGAACTCACTGTGCATTTATCAAGGTGAGAGAACTGAAAAGCAGATTTAAGCTTCAAGTCGCAATATTGAAAGATGCTATACTATGGGCAATATTTTGATGATTGTCGATAGTTATAGAAAGGCTTCAGGCCTTTTGTCCATAGTGTTGCTATGAGTTGTGCACCACTCGTAGGCAATCAAAACAACAGCATAGGCAATATATAAAATTACCCAGGAAGCTTCTAAAGAAGATGAAGGGCATACATGGAGTCACTGTACCACAAAGAACTGACTGTCACAGAATAATTTTAGGAAGTCTCATACAAACAGGAGCTTGTATGGTAATGAAGGAGGAAGATGCAGCTGCATTGAACGCACTGGCAAAAAATAAGGCCCCAGGAATTGATGGGATATCAATTGATTTGTTTTAATTAACAGATGCAGCTCTGGATGTGCTCCCCAGTCTATGCCAGGAAATTTGGAGGACAGCTGTCTGGTCATTGCATTGTATGAGATCCATAGATGTTCTTATTCCCAAGAAAGGTGATCCAATGAAATGTGAAGAGTATCAAACATTAATCATTAATATAACATACAAGATATTCAAAATACTTCTAAAGGTTGTTCAGAACCAGCTAGAACAGTACATGGATAGGGAACTGCCAGAAGTTCAAGCAGGATTTAAAAGAGATTGTGGCACCAGAGATATTAATGCTGATGTCATATGGATCCAGACTGAAAGTAAAGAATACTAGAAGAATGTCTATTCATGCTTTATTTACTGTGCAAAGGTATTTGTGTGAATCATAACAAGTTAGGCTAACATTGAGAAGAATGGGAATCTCAGAGCACTTAATTGTGCTAATATGAAACCTATACCAAGAAGCTGTCAATAAACAGAGCAAGAGAACACTACATGGATTAAAATTAAGAAGTGTGTCAGAGTTGAATTCTCTCTCCATACCTATTCAGACTGTATGCTGAGCAATTTATTTGAGAGGCTGGACTCTGAAGAAGAGTGTGGCATCAAGATAGGAGGAAGACTCATTAATAATCTATGCTACAAAGATGACACAACCTTCCTTGCTGAAAGTGAGGGGAACTTGAAGCACTTGTTGCAGAAGATCAAAGAATACAGCCTTCAATATGAAATGCATCTTACTTCAAGAAAACAAAAATTCTTACCACTGGACTGATAGACAGCATCATGTTAGGTAGAGAAAATGGAAATTGCCAACTTCATTCTACTTGAATCCACAGTCAACACCCTTGGTACCAGCAGTCAGGAAATAGGAAACATATTGAACTGGGAAAGTCTGAGGGACCTTTCCAAATTACCGAGGAGTAATGATGTCAGTTTGAGGACTTACATGCGTCTGATTCAAGTCCTGGTCTTTCCAGTCACTTGTTGTGCATTTCTGAGAGCTGGACAATGAATAAGGATGACAGAAAAAGAATTGATGCCTTTGATCTATGGTGTTGGAGCAGAGTACTGAGCATTCCATGGACGGCCAAGAGAACAAACAGATATGTCTTGGAGAAAGTGCATTTAGAGTGTTCTTTGGAGGCAAAGATGATAAAGCTTCGTCTCACGTACTTTAGGCAAGGAAAGACTGTTCCTTGGAGAAGGGGCATCATGCTTGGAAGGCAGAGGGTCGGAAAAGGAGAGGAAACCCTCAACTAGGTGGATTGACACAATAACTATTACAGTGGACTCTAGTGTGTTAGAAAGTGTGTGTATGGCACAGGATAGGCAAGGTTCAGATCTGTTGTTCCCAGGTTTGTACTTGATTCAGCGGAACCTAACAACAAAAACTATAATGTAAAAAAAGAAATCACAATGGGGTTTTTTGTTTTGGTTTGGTTTTTAATAAAAATTAATAATAGTTTAGTACATTTTAGAAAATACAGGGATCCCTGGTGGCCTAGTGGTAAGAATTTGTATTGTAGTACCAAAAGCACATGGTTCAAATCCACTTGTTCCTCTGTGGGAGAAAGATGAGCAGTCTCCTACCATGTGATTAACTGCCTCTGAAAACTTGCTGGAGGGTCAGCTCTAGGTTGGTTCCAACTCAGTGGTACTCAACAACAACAACAACAACAACAACAACAACAACAAGTAATGAAGAAGGTAGTTAATCATTTAGGGGCTTTCAACCAGGTGGATTGACAAGGTGACTGCTGCAATGGACTCTTGTGTGCAAGGAAGTGTGAGGATGGTTCAGGACAGGACTGGTTACTGATCTTTTGTTTGTAGGGTTGCTATGAGTTGTCCTCAACTTGATGGTACCTAGCAACAACAACAAACACAACAACAACTACATCATTATTTTTGCTTCATTAGGATTAGTGTTCATGTCTTTGACATTGATTTCCAAACGTTGTTAATATTCTTCTGTAATGAAATTGTACTGATTTTGTTTTTAAAATATCTTACAGATGTAATCAACAAATCCTTTTTAAACAGACTATATCCTTTTAAATAATTTATGCTTGTTTTGTTGAAAATACACTCAATAGAACTTACACAAATTCAGCAATTTCGTTTTGTATGAATAGACATTGATATCCTACTTTGAGTTGTATGACCATTTTTACCTTCCTTTTCCAAATTTTTCCTCCTCCAGTAACATAAACTCACTACCCCTGTGTTTCCTATGTCCGGTGTAATATTTGGATTTGCTGTTGTCAGTTTGATCCCTTCTCAGTGTCCAAGGAGACATTTGCTAGGCTCAAG